TATTCCGAATCCAGAAGCAGCATTGTGTTCAGATCGTGGAGGCAAATATTTTGATATACAGTATGCTCTCGATATTCCATTTCCAGTTTTTTCGAATTTTTTCTTGGAGGTCTTTTCGCAAGGACGTAACGCAGCGTCTGTGTAATATAAAAGATTCCAGTAAGCACTGTTCGATAGTACTGTCGTTGTAGGTTATCGTCGGTTCAAGAGTAGCTGCAGACTGTCTCCCAAAAGAGATAGAAGCGTTGGTGAATTTTGGAAAAATCACGCGTTTCTAAATTCTACTCGCCGTAACTTCCTTCGGAATGAACATATTCTGAATCCGAAGAAAGCTTTGTGCTCAGTTCATTAAGGCAAGTCTTTCGATATACAACTATCCTTGATATTCCGATTTCGATATTCTTAAATCTTCGTAGACGTCTTTTCGTGAAGGTGTAAAGCAGCGCGCATTGCCCCTAGTAGACTCCAGCAAGGACCATTCGATAGTACTTTTTCTGTAGATTACGTAGCGCTGAAAAGTAGTCACAGGCATCTTTCCATAGGAGTTAGAAGGGTTGGTGAATTCTGGAAATCATGTCGTTCTAAATTTTTCCCAACGTAACTCTAAAATATGAAGCTCTCTTGCTAAGCAGATGTGATTTTCGTAATCAGCAGGTCGGATAACCCTTATGAGCAAGTTTTCCAAGATGTTCGAGTAATTTTATTTTTTCTCGTTTTACGCTCTGAAGCTCGCCGGTGGATTTTGGTCAAAATGTCGATGATTCGAATTGCAAGGAAACTTCGCTTATAGAGGTTTTCGAACACGCTCTTTACGAAAATCGTGGTCTTTGAGGATTACAGGGTCTTCTTGGAGAGATACGGTGAGGTGACTGTAACTGAATCACGAAAGCTCGTAACTTCGCCTCCACCTCCCATGTGTCTGTCAAAGAACCTGCCTGCTTGCTTTACTAGTCAAAGTTACTAGGAGATTTGCTATCGAATGGCGTAAGATTCAGGCTCCAGTCTACAAAATTCGCCGGGTTACGAGCCTATGAATACACGTTCTCATGAATTTTGCTCAAAATGTAAAGATCGCAAATTTCGTCGAAATTCCACCATGAGTGCTTGTACGACACTCGCATTGCGGATATTATGTTCGCTTCGCTCAATAACTCCACTGTATTGAATATGGTGCTTGCGTGTGCTTCAGCAATTGATATCAAAGCTGTTTTGTGGCTAGAGCTCAAATCACCAAATCTCGCAACAAGATCCATTAAGAATGTGAAAAGATTTGATCAGCGTGTTGTACAAGCACTCATGGTGGAATTTCGACGAAATTTGCGATCTTTACATTTTGAGCAAAACTCATGAGAACGTGTTTTCGTAGGCTCGTAACTCGGCGAATTTTATAGGCTGGAGCCTGAGTCTTGCGCCATTCGATAGCACATCTCCTAGTAACTTTGACTTATAAAAGCAAGCAGGCAGGTTCTTTGACAGACGCGTGAGAGGTGGAGGCGAAGTTACGAGCTTTCGTGATGCAGTTACAGTCACCTCACCGTATCTCTCCAAGAAGACCCTGTAATCCTCAAAGACTACGATTTTCATAAAGAGCGTGTTTGAAGACCTCTATAAGCGAAGTTTCCTTACAATTTAAGAGCGTGAACATTTTGACCAAAATCCATCGGCCAGCTTCAGAGCGTAAAACGAGAAAAAATGAAATTACTCGAACATCTTGGAAAACTTGCTCATAAGGGTTATCCGACCTGCTGATTACGAAAATCACATTTGCTTAGCAAGAGAGCTTCATATTTTAGAGTTACGTTGAGAAAAATTTAGAACGACATGATTTTTCCAGAATTCACCAGCCCTTCTAAATCCTATGGAAAGATGCCTGTGACTACTTTTTAGCGCTACGTAATCTACAGAAAAAGTACTACCGAAAGGTCCTTGCTGGAGTTTACTAGGGGCAATGCGCGCTGCTTTACACCTTCACGAAAAGCCGTCTACAAAAAGATTTGAGAATATTGAAATCGGAGTATCAAGGATACGCTGTATATCGAAAGATTGCCTTGATGAACTGAGCACAAAGCTTTTTTCGGATTCAGAATATGTTCATTCCGAAGGAAGTTACGGCGAGTAGAATTTAGAAACGCGTGATTTTTCAAAATTCACCAACGCTTCTATCTCTTTTGGAATACAGTCTGCAGCTACTCTTGAACGCACGATAACCTACAAGGACAGTACTATCGAACAGTGCTTACTGGAATCTTTTATATTACACAGACGCTGCGTTACGTCCTTGCGAAAAGACCTCCAAGAAAAAATTCGAAAAAACTGGAAATGGAATATCGAGAGCATACTGTATATCAAAATATTTGCCTCGACGATCTGAACACAATGCTGCTTCTGGATTCGGAATATATTCATTCCGAAGGAAGTTATGGCGTTGCGTACTCTGCGTGATTCGCATGGTTTCGCGGATCCTGAAATGTCGCGAACTTCCCGGATTATCGCGCACTTTGACGGAAATCCCGGAACCGCGAAGTTCACGGAAATTTTGACATTCTGTGCGCGGTATTGTGATCTTGAGCAGATCTTAGAACAAATTCGATCAGAGTGGCTCTCTACCATACTCCTATAGTATACTGTCTATGTGTCATCAGCGACAGATCAGTGGTAATACTGCTATCAGCACACTGAATTCAACCAAAATAATAATCGATAATTTTGAAAACTAATATTGTGTTCGGAATCCCCATGCTCGATTACCCCCTGCGCAAACTCCCAGCCCCGTAGCTCAAACTTTGCAAAAAAAATCGATAAAATTGATAAAAGTAGTCGATAATCCTGAAAACTAATATTGTATTCGGACCATGCTCGGCTACCCTTCTATGCAAACTCCCAGCCCCGTAGGTGAACTTTGCAAAGAATCGATAAAAATCGATAAAATCGATATTGATCGATGACGAAAAGTAGCCTATGACACCCGCCGGGGCCCGCAGTGTAGGTGTGCCAAGTTTGGTCCGGATCGGTTCAGAAATGGAATTTTCTATTCGGAGCATGCGTACAGGCAAACAGACAAACAGACGTTCAGCTTCATATATAAGATGATGCGTCTCGCCGAGCTGAATCGAACGGTGTCCTCGTATTCAGAATTCGTCCATTCTGAAGCGAGATATGACTAAATTGACGATCATTCCGGCGCACTGCGGCGGAGTGTGGCGCACTCTGCCGCACTCCGGCGCACCTGCCACACTCCGGCGCACTGTGGCGGAGTGTGGCGGAGTGCGCCACAGTCCGGCGACCTTTTTGACGAATTATGAGCGGTATTGTACAGGGCGTCCCAAAAAAATGTATCGAACGTTTGATCGTTAATATCTCTCTTCCCATGAAGTCTTTTGCCTTGCTTCAGGTAGTGTTTTGTAGAGCTGGCTACAACTTAGATTTGTATTGTAGAGCGAATCACCCATCTCTCTTCATTACTGTAAAATTACGGTAGAAACTTGATACATATGGTGTCAATGCGGAAAAAGCTGCCGTTTCAAAATTTTTCAAAAAATTGTGAAAACTTGTGTAATAGGGTTTTTATGGACGCTGAGTTCAATACTCAACTATTCGCAAGATTACGAAGCTTTCTAAACGGTGTAACCGCACTTTTTAAGAACATTGAAAAAATGGCCGCTACCTCTTATCTGGCATAACTCTTCAATGAAGCATCATAATAAGTTGGGAACTTTACAAAGAATCAGCAACTCTAATTAGCCTAGTGTAAAAGCTTTCAGGCTGTTTTGTTTCCTTCCTGAGGCAAAATATGGCCTTTCATTGCTTAAAACCCTCTTTGAAGTTTCCACCGTAATCCTAAGTAATTAAGATAAATGAGTGGTTCGTTCTATAATGCAAATCTGAGTTGAAGCCAGCTCTACAGATTGGTACCTAAAGCAAGAGAAAAGACTTCTTTAGAAGAGAGATATTAACGATCAAACGTTCGATACATTTTTGGGACACCCTGTATTTAAATGCTTCTATAATTTCACGTGTATTTATGTAAGAATACTTCACTTTTCTTCATTAATTCTCAGCCTCTTTGACCTTCTAATTTTCAATTATCGCGGCCCAAAGTGATTCTAGTGTCTGCATAAAACAATACACTGCGCCATTTGTTTTTTTTAAATAAAACTTTATCGCTGTCTAAGTTTCTTAGCATCTCGGAAGTTGGGAGAAATCTTTACAAAAAAGTGATGGTTAGAAAAAAGCGCAAACTAGTATTTCAAAATAAAGCTTGATTCGCAAGAAAAGGCTCTCGAATCAAGAGCGGAAACCGAAAAGTGCTACGGAACCCCAAACAAAATGCTGCAAAAACCCTCCATTTCTATTAACATTTCATAACAGCGGTTCCGCAGCGCTTTGGCAGGATTTCCGCAGCTGACCAGGCGGAAATGCTGCGGAAGTTCCGGTCAGTTGTCTGAGCGGTCGATGGCATGTGCAAATTTGTAGGGCTCTGTGTGGTCCTGCATGTGCAGCGGCTGCAAACACAAAATTCTGCGATCGCGCCCTATATTTCCAGTATAGCCCTCATATGCTGTGACTCAAATGTTCAGGTAATTGGATGTCTCAATGGCTGCTATAAGGAAGTCTTACACCGCAGCCTTCGAACTTGAAACAGTAAAATTTTCTTTAGAGCTTGAAACTTCAGCTGCCACTTATGTATGCCAAACTTTTGGGATGCCAAAAGTGACGAATATTAGAGAAGTGTCTATTCGTGGATTGTGCAGAAGCAAGAAGCAAGCAGAGCTTTGCTGGTTAAGGACGTCAGAGCAAAAGCGTTAAAGTTGGCAGAGAAATTTGGTTGGCATGATTTCAAGGCATCGGCTTTAGTGCAAATCTTTTAAGTAAGGAAGCAACCTGGTTGCTAAACGAAGAACAGAAGCAGGATGGGAAGATGTATGCTCCGCAGCAAGAGCAAATTATACTAAAAGCAGCATTGAGAAAGTATGAACCTATGGCGAGGTAACTGCTTTGGTTTATGAAAGTTTTAACGCAGTTTCTGAAAGAAAAACGATTGCTAACAGTTTCAAAAAGGCTTTGGATGAAGAGTCAATGAAAAATGAGGTGACTGAGGATTGTGATACTATGATTGCTTCTACATTGACGATGAGTCTGCTTATGGTCATGTTGTTGCAGTTGTTGATGATTACACGAAATGGAAGCTAAATAAAGATTTCTTTTTATTGGATTCGCATTTTTGAGACTAACAAGGCAGTGCAACTGCGCATCCTTCGGATTCTCTTTCGAGAAAAGAAACGGGCCTATCTGCACGAACTGTCTCCTAATGAACGAAATTATTTGCAGAGAGGACTTGTCTGCAAGATTTTTGGCAGCGCGAGCGTGCATCTTCATTGCTTTTTCTGGGCAAAAAGCGAACGACTTATTTGTAAGATTTTAGGGAATAATAAACGCTTATCTTCTGTATGTTTAAGCACCCAAACAATGAAGACCATAAAGTTCAAAGAGCAATAAACATAAGCTACACCCCTTCCTCGCTCTTCTGGTGAGTGCTTGGACTCTGTCTATAGTTGCCTGACCTGTGCCGGCACTGTGACAGCGCCAGGGCACCACCGTGCTAGCTTAGCATTCTTCCAGGGCGGCACAATGCTACTGAAGCTTCCAACGGGAATCTCGATCAATTTTAAGTGCATTTAACTGGACAGAACTAGTTTTTGCCTAAAGTGGTGGCGTCCTCTTACACTTGGTTTCTCTTTGACAATTAATATATTTTGTGCTCTCAAAAAATCTCTCTTGCCACTGTTTTCTCTTCAGAAAGTATCGATGCGTCTGTGGCATTTGAAATTGAATCTTAACTATTTCTTTTGCTCTCAATTGTTTGCAGATTCCGGTAAATTTTTAAATCAATTCGTCATCAGTGTCCATAGATGGCTTGCCATTTTGAATTGACTTCCTCACCCACAGAACTTTTGTTAATGTTTTAACCCTCTCTTAGAGTCAATCTTTAATTTATACATTTAAAGACTTCAAATGTTTAGGTTAAAATTTTTCTAACAAGCTGGCGTCTTCACCGCTGCTTCCCCTTATTTTCCCAACAAGCCATTGAGGAGTTTGCTGCCTCCTTTGAAAACATGGGAGTTATCAGAGGTTCAAGTTCTGCATCAGCATGTTGAAGGCAAAATATAACAGATCCCACTTAACATTACCAAACCTGTCATTCATAGGTATCGAGACCCTCTTTCTCTACAACAAAAGGATTCCAAGAAAAGTATTTGAGCGACTTCTGGCCTCTTTGGCCAGGTAGACGCATCAACTATTGCTCCAGAAACCCCAGTAACTTTGTATTGTGAAACAGATTTGCGCTAGCACGGAGCACTGTAGTATAGACACAGGTCAGGCAACTTCAGACGGCATAATGCTGGAGCTATTTACGGCATTCTACTCGTTCATTCGCTGAGACCCTTGGTAATACTCGTATACAATGAGACAAGATAATAAACAGTGTTTTGATTGCAAGGCCACTAATGCCACAAATGTTTGGAATCTAGCTCTTTTCGTAGCAGGTTCGTAAGGTTCGTATTGTGAATACCGAGAAAACGTAGACGTTTATTGGCTGTGTGATAAGGGTGAAAAGCGAATAGCGAAGTAGCATACATTAGCCTTCTTTTATACGGAAGCAACAGAATAAAGAGAGCCCAGTGTGCATTTGCATATTCTGCGCCAACCGTCAGGCGCATTAGCGCATTCAACCACACATCTAAACTAATTCTCAATTCATGTAAGGACAGATAATGCGAGTAGACAAATGGCTGACAGCACATGATAGCAGAATATCAAAACATCGAGCGCAATCATTATGAATATCGCTAAATGTACAATCATCTTAGGTCTACGAAGAACTATCCATCAAGCTCAGGAATTGGAAGTGCTATTTTGTAGAATTACAAAAATTCCCAACAGAAAGCAAAGATAATCCCATAAAGAACGATAGCGATAAGAAAATTGGCGTATTCGAATGAGATAAAGATGTTGCAAAACATAAATAAAAACAAGAAGAATCAATACGGTAAAATAAAATTGAAAGGATTCGAGAAGAGGCTTAGTGAGTTTCGCAATAAGTTAAGAGCGTGATTGGACAAGGTTTTTAAGAACGATGTGCCTCTTGGGATTTTCTTCGTAAACGTCTTTGATACATATCTCCATTGATTGTTTCGTCCTCGACGTATTGTAGGTGGCCTTTGACCTTGATCATTTGCGTATTTCCTGGGCAGATTACCTTGCAACTCATGGAGATGTCGGATGCGTTGAAGTGAAAGCGTAGTGTTTACGTATCCTTTCGTTTTGCATTGTGCTACCTGGTATTTTTCTGAGCAGGCAATATTTGCCAAAACAGTTCCAGATTTGCTCTTGCATAGGAATGTGATTTCGGCCCCGGCATGCAACTATAGCATCCCTCTGCGTCACTGGTGGTAGTCTCACAAGAAGTTTGTCTTGATGCTATTTTTAGGTTTTCAGCAACAACATGAAGTTGCAGAGCTGAACCAACTCCAGATTTTGCATATAATGTGCCCTGTTCTGAATAGATCGTAAAGTGTTCTGATACTTGAGGGGAGGATGAACTCTGCATTAGTCTTTCCATGTTGCCAGGCATAGGTGCGATAGTCTGAGAATTTTCTCACCCCCTCTTCACCCCTGAGCCGGGACCAAGGTGACCCCCTTCACCAAAAGCCGAGAAAAAATCAACAGTAAGGTAAGGTTAAGCAAAGGAGATATTTGTACGTGAACTGATTATGTACAGTAATGGAGGAGTCTGTTGAAAAAATTGCTTGGTGAAGGGTGTGCCTAGTGATTTTTGGAAATTTTCGAGTTTTCAACGTATAAAAATTAATAAATTTTGTAGAACACCTTGTACGCCGTGATAGTTACCATTGAAACCGTCTCGTCCTCCGCTTTCAAAAATATATACTTTGTCCGGAGTCCGTTGAAAAAGTGCCTGGGTTAAGGGTGGTGTCCTAGTGATTTCTGGAGATTTTCGAGTTTTTAACATAAAAAATTCATAACTTTGCATCTTGTACAGGCAAAGTATAAATTTTCTGAAAGCGGAGGACGAGACGGTTTCAATGTGACCGTCACGGCGTACAAAATATTCATATTCAGAAGTTACGGATTTTTCAATCCTAAAACTCGTAAATATCCAGAAATCACTACCCACACTCTTCACCAGGCACTTTGCAACAGACTCCAGGCAAACTATATATTCTCTAGAAGCGGGAGACAAGGTGGTTTTAAAAACATTTCCCTTGCTGACGTTGCTATTCGTCTACAAAAATTACGACTTCCTTCTTTTAAAAAATCGTAAATGTTTAAAAATTGTCTAACTCTTTTCGAAACAAATGTTCTCGCATGCACATCTTTTAAGCTAATTCCAAAAACGAGCAGGGTGATATAAAAAAGGAAAAGGAAATGTTAAAAAAATACAGGGGCTGGTCAGAAATATAATTGTGTGCTCCAGCAGCACATCGGTTCACATTTCAGAAAAAAGATAACCAGTGATGCTAAGGAATAAATTATGAACTTTGACTAGGAAAAATGATGAGAAAGCACCATGGTTCCCCCCCCCCCCCTCCCTCCCTCCCTCCCTCGACATTTTATAATTTCTCTACCAAGTGAAACACCCTTCACCCTGGAGGAGTCATTCTCACCTTATCGCACCTGTGCTTCGAAGCATCGCTGATGCGACGTCGATGCTCTTTATAGTCGTATCAATTTTACGTGAAAAGGCCGCTTTGACCAAACGGACCTCCCTTATAAGGATTTTGAAGTAATGACAAGCCTCGGTTATGATCAGGGTCAAGCACAGAGGTGCGATAGTCGAGCCGAGTCTCCGCCTACCTTCACTTTTGAGCTGGTACGGGTTACCACCTTCACTTTTGGGTTTGAAAAAATTTTTTGCTGATTAAAAGAAGGAAAATAAGGAAAAGGAACGCGAAAGAAGGTATTGAGAGCATATATCTATGTAGTAGGTCGATCTAGGCAGTAACCGCCGAGAACCAGAATTTCGAATGATAAAATAACGTAAAATCATGCAAAATTTCCACCGTTGTAAATCTGGTGGTTGAAGATGTTAGCAAATGCGACTTCAAATGTTTTGAAGGGTAGGTGTAGTCCTACCAGATAGTGAAAGAATCAGGTCGATTTGAGCAGTGGCCGCCGAGAACGAAAATTTTAAATTAAGTGATTTTAGGTTACTTGATGACAGCTGACAAACTCATATGAATCTTGAATGTGAAAGTGTGTGATGTTGCGACTTCATAGGTTTTGTAGAGTAAGGTTTGCCTTATCAGATATCTTATCCGTACCGATCCATTGAGATACCGCCGAGATTGAGGCTCTTAAAAAAACGAGTAAAAAACCGCTTTTTGATAGCCGCCAGTGGAGACTTTTTGATGAAAAGTCTCCACCCTCGAGCATATGCCGTGAGAGGCGCGAAACCCCCATATATTATATATCATCTGAAAGCTATTGAAGAGAAGAATCAACCTATGAGGTCGCAACATGATTCATGCAGTTATGAAGAAGTTATGAGCGTTGAACTTAAAAGCGCTTTTTTACCTGCTTTTTCAAGACCCTGAATCTCGGCGCTGTCTCAATGGATCGGTACGGCTAAGATATGTATAATCTGATAAAACAAACCTTACTTTACAAAGTGTATGAAGTCGCAATATCACGCACTTTCATATTCAAGACCTATATGAGTTTAATTGCAGCTGTCATTAAACACGCTAAAATGACGTAATTTTTTTAGAATTATGGTTTTCGGCGACTATCTCTCAAATCACTCGATTTTTTCACTATCTGATAGAGCACCACTTACTCTTTAAAACCATGAAGTCGCAATTGCTGGTATCTTCAAACATCAGAGATTTATAACAGTGGAAATTCGCATGATTTTTCGTTACTTTATTATTCAAAATTCTGGTTCTCGGCGCTTATTCTCTAGACCAACCTACTTTCTTCGCAGTACATTATAACAGAATTTAGTTAGAAAAAAACGTAAAGTACTGAGTTTTATCGACGGCGAGTTTCTAAAAGTAAAGTGAACGAGAAAATAGCTTTGAGTAACCTTTGAATTTGTTCTTCTTTTTTCTCCTTTTTATTATAAAAAAGTTAATAACTTTTGAGAAAGAAATTTTTTGTAAAAAGAGAAGTCGAGCTGTGCTTCCTTCGCCCCCCCCCCCCCCGGTCGACGTTTTTGGGAGGTGAATGTCCGACACTACCACCTTCTTTTTTGGCCGGCCAGTGGTAGCTGGAACCACCTTCACTTTTGGGGGGCCCAGCTCCACCTATCGCACCTCTGGTCAAGCATGCAGTGCGGCCCTCAGGTGCGTCACCTA